TTCTCACTAGGTTGAAATGTGGTCTAGAATACTCTAAGAGACAAAATACTGGTAGGAACTCAGGCGTTGTATTCAAACAGACCCAAGTTCAAGTCCAGAGTCAAACAAGGGTTTGAAGAATGCCTCCTGTCTCTGTGATCCTAGCAGGCTATTTAAATTCATCGAACCTCAGTTTCTTGTTCTATAAAATGAGAATACAGCCAGCCCTCCAGATCCATGGATTTTGCACCCAAGAATTCAACCAATCTTGGATTGAAAATATAAAAAATAAAAAATAACAATTCAACAATAAAAAATAATGCAAATAAAGAACAATACAGCATAACAAGTATTTACTTGGCATTTACATTATATTGGGTATTAAGAGGAATGTAGAGATGATTTAAAGTATATGGGATGATGTATGTAGGATATATGCAAATACTAATCCATTTTATATCAGGGACTTGAGCTCCCTTGGATTTGGTGTCTGTGCGCGTCCTGGAACAAATCTCCCATCTGTACTGAGGGATGATTATAATAATAATACCAGTTTAATAGGATTGTTGTGAGCCTCATATTGCAATTGCTAAAAAAAAAATGTTAGCTGTTATTATTACCTCGACTATTACTACTGCTCTCTATAGAGGCAGATGATTATTAAGTCTGTTGGGAAGGTAGATTCCACTTTCTTCACTAATTGGCTAAAGCTCTCTAAAGAGACATTTAGCCCTCTCGTTTCTGGGCTATTTCAGGATCCTACATTCCTAACTGGAGATAACAAGAGCATTGATGACAGCAGCAGCCACCATTTTTGCTGAGCCCTTATGCTCAAATGCCTCATAAGGATTCTAGTTCCACCTTGATGACGACCCAATGGGTTAGCTCCTGACAATCGTCATTCTGCAGATGGGGAAACGGAAACACTGGGAGGTTAGGTAACTTTCTCAAGGCCTCTGGGTAGTCAGCAAAGGAGTTTAGGACCAGAACCCATGGGTCTGAGCACTTGGCTCAGAAGGAAGCCAAATGACCACAGACACTTCCTTCCCACCCCTCCTTTCCCTGATATTGATAAAGCGTAAGGCCATTGACAATGACAGTTTCATCAAAAAGCCTGGCTAAAGCCTGGGCTCCCTCTGACCAGGTGTGGATGGCAGCAGAAGAGTCGTCATGCAGGGAGGAGCCAGTGTCCCACAGCCATATTCTCTGCCACCTCCTGCTCTCTTCCCTGGCTGCTTCCACCGCCCTCCCTCTCCAGGTTCTCTCTCTGCTTGAGACACAGGGAGGCCTCCTGCTCCCTGGGGGTGACCCTTTGCCAAGGCTTATGGTAGATGAAGAAGGGGCGCGTGGCTCCTTGAGGCACAGTCAGCTTGCAAATGTCTGGCACAGGTGGGAAGAGAGACACCTTTGAGGTCCTCCCTAGTCAGACACATTGGGCCCTGCCCCTAGCACAAGTGCTGTTCCCTCCTGCCTTACCTTTTCACCTCCTTATTTCTTTACCGCTGTGAAGGCAACACCCAACAAGGCATGTGAAGACACAGTCCTTGCCCTGGGGACTCAGAATCTGTCGCCATCACTGCAAAGAGTTGAGAAGGAAATTGCAGTGTTGAGGTTTCTTGCTTCTTCCTCACTGAGAGAAAAAAACCCCAACTGTCAACAAACCTCAAACCGATCATTCAAATGATGCCGAGAGGGAGCTGGGCAGCAGGGTGTATCTGTGGCAAACAAGAACACTAGATGATCTGGGCACAAGGACCAAGGTGACCGAGGACGGAGGATGAGAAGGAAGGAGAAAGCTTGTGCAGAAGAGGAGGGCTGCTTGGAAGGGAGGGAGGTCAGTGAGCGTGTGCGTGGGCCAGGCTGCTGGGGCAATGGTGGGGAGAGAAGAGGATGGTATGTACAGGGATCTAAAAACAGGGCTTCTGCATTTTGAGGGATCAAGGAAAAACACCTTCAAAGGAAAAGCACACGTGTCAGGGCAATGTGACTCACGCCTGTAATCCTAGCGCTTTGGGATACCGAGGTCTGCATGAGGCCAGGAGTTTGAGACCAGCCTGAGTAACGGCAAGACTGTCTCTCCAAAAAATTTTTTAAATTACCTCAAAAAAAAAAAAAAAAGAAAGAAAGTAAAAGAAAAGAAAACATCGCAGAGAACCAAAGGATTAGAATGTTACTATCCAGCCCCAGCCCTGGGGACTGCTGTCACACAGAGGGTCCAGTGGGGGGTTGGGGAGACTGCTGAGACTACAGCAGACCCTGGCTTTGTCCATATAAAGCAATTTGCAAGGAAGGCGGAGTGGAAGAAGAGGAGGAAGCTGAGGCAGTTAAGGAAATATGTTTAAAAGTTTAGCACGCAAGGCTATGTACTACATGATTCCATTTATATCATACTCTGGAACGGGTACAGTAGTGCTCTTGCGATCCTAGCTACTCGGGAGGCTTGACATGGAGGATCACTTGAGCTCAGGAGTTTGAGACCAGCCTGGGCAACATAGTGAGATGCTGTCTCAAAAAAAATTTTTTTTTATGTAACTTTCTGGAAAAGGCAAAATTATTGAGCTAGAAATCAGATAAGTGGTTGCCAGAAGCTAGGAATCTCAGAAGGTGATTAGCTACAAACAGATACGAAGGACCGTTTTGGAGATATAGAACTGTTCTGTATCTTAATTGAGGTGATGGTTACACAACTGTACACATTTGTCAAACTCACTGAAAGGTATGTTTTAAAACGGTGAATTTTACTGTATGTAAATTATACCTCATAAACTTGATTTAAAAATAAAGTTGCAGGAAGTGTCAAACATCACATATTGCAACTCAGCTGTGTAGAAAAAGAGAAAAAGGTAGCCCCTTTATTCTCTAGAACTGATGTAAACTCATTCACAAATTCTCAATCCCATTAGTATCAGGTGGGAGAGTTTACACCTGACAATTAAAGAAAACAGTCTCTCCCACTGTAAATTAGTTTTATTAAATTAAATTAGTTTTATTAAATTAGTTCAGCCTTCTTTGATAAAAATTAGTCAAATCCCTGCCTGGACTGCCACCTCCTCTCTGGCTGTGTCCCCTCCTGCCCCCTCCCACTCCCACCCCGTGTATGGCTCTGGGTGCTGGACCCTGTGTTGTGCTCTGGACCTGGGTGGCCTCTGCAGAGGTGTCCCTCACCCAGCTAGCCTGCTGGCACCCCTAGTTGGGGTCTTGCTGGGGGGACCTGGTGGCTTACCTGGCTCATGGGTCCTGCTTGGGCCTGTTTGTTATGTGCATACAAACCTGAACCCGTTCTGGGTCCCCAACACTTTCCATTTACCTCCTGGCTTGAGCCTGAGGCTGGTCCGCAGGCTCTCAACCCTCTCTGGAACTTCTGGGGACTAGGGGTGGGGTGATGTGGGAGGAGGAGGAACACTGAAGCCCCTCTCCCAGGTTTTTTTTTTTTTTTTTTTGAGACAGAGTCTCGCTTTGTTGCCCAGGCTAGAGTGAGTGCCGTGGCATCAGCCTAGCTCACAGCAACCTCAAACTCCTGGGCTCAAGCGATCCTCCTGCCTCAGCCTCCCAAGTAGCTGGGACTACAGGCATGCGCCACCATGCCCGGCTAATTTTTTCTATATATATATATTAGTTGGCCAATTAATTTCTTTTTATTTATAGTAGAGACGGGGTCTCGCTCTTGCTCAGGCTGGTTTCGAACTCCTGACCTCGAGCAATCCGCCCACCTCGGCCTCCCAGAGTGCTAGCATTATAGGCGTGAGCCACCGCGCCCGGCCTCTGTGGAGTTTTTCTACTGTTCTCCACCAAGGTTTGATGGGGCGAGACAGCACTGGCACCTCATCTCCTGCGCCCTGCCCAGCCTCCTCCAAGCTGCAGGGGTTTACACTTCCTCTTTCTGTTCTTCAGGGACTTCCTTTCCATCATGTTTTTCTTCTTCCTATGGATTTTTCTAGGTGGTATCCAGCTTTCTCCTTTCTTGGGACAGTATGCCCTGTGGTGCCGTGAGAGAACGTAGCTCACTGATAATAGAAATGCTTTGGAAAGTGCTTCACAAACAGCGTCCCTGTTACTGTAGGGTTTTAGGAATAGGGCGTCATTCCCCAGGAAGTGTTCTCGCTGGCCTGTTCAGGGACTGCCTTTAGGGTAATACAAGTGTCCTGAACTAGTGGAATTCTCACCTGCTCAGACATACGACACACACTCGGTTGTCTTTCCCCCAAGCCTCGTCCTCCTTCTGTGTTTCTAATCCACCCGGGGCCCGTGTCAGAATCGGGACCCCTTCTCTTATTCGACCTTCTATACCCAGCCTGTCACTGTCCGTTCTTTCTCCTCAAACCAGAAAGATTCTTCTCCCCACCTTCCCTCTCGTCCCTCCTGCTGCTGCCGTGGTGGAGGTTCCCACCTGGCTGCTGGTTTCTGATCGCTCTTTCTACCCTTAGACTTGCCTCCTTGCTTTTCGCTACTCATGCTTTTTGCCGCTGGTGTGATGTTTCCAAACACATTTCACCCCGTGTCGTTCCTCTGCTTAAAACCCACGTGTACGACGTGGCCCCTGCCTACCTCTGAAGATGCCTTCTCCTTTATACTCCCGTCTCTGCTCCAGCCGCACCAAGTGAGTGGCTCGCAGGGGCCTGGCTGTGCAGTGCTGTGCTGTGCTGTGCTGTGCTGGTCCCGCCTCTGTGCCTTTGCACATGCCCTTCCCTCTAGCTCCAGAGTCCCTCCTCGCCTTCTTATCATTTGACACTCAGCTAGCGGCTTCCTTCTCCTTGAGCCTTTCTGATCCCTCCAAGCGAGAACTCTGTGCTGAGTCAGCACAGTACCAGCTTGCCTCGGTGAGGACACTCGCCTTGCAGAGTCCTATCACAACGCTAGGCTGCGAACTCCTGGAGCCAGTGATAGGTGCAAGTAACCTCAGTTTCCCAGCATGTGGCACAGAGCCTGGCCCACGCCAGTCCAACAATGGAATAATGATGAGCCCTGGTTCTGGGGCTAGACAAGACCTCGAGGTCACTGGGTTCAACATTCCTATTTCCCAGATAGACCCAGAGAAGTTAAGGGACTCTGTCAACCTCACACAGCTGATTGGTGACAAAACTAGACCTGGCCCTTGGGATCCAGCGCAGAGCTCCTCCTGCCACTCTGAGGGACCTCTAGACACACCACGGGAGGGAGCAAGGTAGGTTGGGGAATGGTGGGGGCCGGGCTGTGGGCAGGGACCCATGAGGAGACGCCAGAGGCAAAACCTTAACTCAGAGCCCGTGTAACCTGTTCTCAAGCTGGAAATGGTCAACCCCACAAAGGGTTCCTTTGGTAGAACCCTTGCTACTCTCACCTGTGCAGCCGGGATGGTGGACACGATGACAGCAGAGCAGCTGGCGCCCGAACTTATAATAACAATGCTGCAGAATAAATTTAAATACAGGCTCATCCACTGTTGATTTGCTTGAGGCCTGGTCAATTTATCTAACCTGATTACAACACCGTTTTCACAGGGATTTTATTGCTTTGTTTCTTTGAAAACAAAATTGGATTTTGTGATTTCAAAACCAGCTGTGCTGACGGAGTCCTCACCTTAATTCCCTCCTGGAGACTCAGTGTGGGGGCAGGGCGAGTGTGGACCTGGGGCCACACGGGGCCCAGGCTGAATCTTGGCTCTGCAGCTTCCTGAGGTCATGACTTGGGGCAAGGCACTCAGCTGCCCTGAGCCTGGCTGTAATGTTTGAAGAACAGAGGTCATGACACGATGGTTGTCATGGGAGTGAAAACAGGCCCCGGGAAGCAGCCAGCAGAGGGGAAAGCCTGGTCCTGGAGCCCGGGTGCCTGGGTTTGAATTCTTGCTCCATTCCTTGCAAAGTCTGTGATCTCAGACAGGTTAATAATCCTCTCTTTATCTCAGCTTCCTCTTCCTGTGGGGTCACTAGTATGTGTGGCCCTTGGACAGGGCCTGGCACTTGGTAAACACAGGCCCAGTGTAAGCGAGTGAAGACACTGAGCCTGGCGGAGGCACTGAACACGGGTGAGCTCCTTTCTTCTTCCCCTCCCAGAGGAGCCCAGGTCTGTGCCTCTGTCTGGTGGATTCACAGGACCTCGGCCCTTGTCTCCAGCCTAACTCTCTAGCAGCTTATGACAGACCTGGAAAAACCAAGTCCTCCCTTTTCTCTGCACAGCCTGACAAATAGACTCTTTCTCTTGGTCACTGGAGTCACCACATGTCCACTTACCCGATCCTTTAAACAGAGGCTGTTCCACCCTCCCCCGGCCTAATGCCTATACCTCAGGAATAATCAGTGACAGCCCAGCCCAGGGACAGGGCAGTATGAGCTCTTGCCTGGCTTCACTCAAGGTGCTTTGTTCAGCACTGTGGCCTGGGCCCCAGCTCCTGAAACCTCCCAGAGGCCTGTTTGGACCTGTTATCTCTTGGGTTTATGAGCCTCGGCTCACTTGCTAGGCTCTGACTCTGCATGGCAAGCCCAGTCACCTTCCCCGCCTGGCACACCCCCAGGCTCTGGGACTGGTGGAGAGAGGTGGGTAGGGCAGGGGCAAGACCCTGAACCTAGAAGAAAAGGACCTGGAATCTTGCTGATGACAAGTTGAAAACAAAGCAGCCTGGGTCTGCAGGTCCTGCCACTGTGTCTCCTGGCAACCCCTCTGCCTGTGGCAGTTCCAGGCTCAGGATCCCAGAAACAGAAGAGAACTCACCTGGACTCCCTCTTCCCTTATCTGAAGCAAGAGGCCCCACCGGAGCATGGCGGACATGGGTCCTGCAGGCCCTGCACGGACGTGCTCTGGGAAAGAGAGCTCACTGCCTTCCCGCTCTGCCCATGCCCCTGCTCTCCTCCCCCTGTGGCTAGAAATTCGGCTTCTGGAACTTTGATCCAGTGCTCCCAGTCCCCTTCCTGTGTAATGCTGGTTTGAGCAGTTATTCTACCCACTCCAGCCCCTAGGCTGCTTCAGGCTAAACGTCCTTGTGGTTCCTCACATAATGCCATTTCCAGTTCCCGCCTCATTCTGCTCGTCATCACTGGACTTCTTTCGTGTTCACAGAAAAGCAACTGTAACCATAAGAACAAAGCCAGCAACTATTTAGGGAGTACCCTGTGTGGCAGGCATCTCACCAGGCTTGGGGGACTGGGGTGGGGGACACACAGGTATCACACCTGGGCCTGTCCCCAGGGAGCTAACCATGGAGTAAGGGGGAGAGAGGTTCGCCCTTACCTTTGCAGGCCATATGCCTAATTATTAAAGGTTAGCAGTTAGGTGGTGACAACTAAAAGCTATGAAGCTTCCTGAAGTGATAAAAATGTTCTTAAATTGTGGTGATGGTTGCACATATTTGTGAATATCCTAAAAACCACTGAATTATACACTTTGCATGGGTGAATTGTGTGGTATGTGAATTATATATCAATAAAGTTGGTTAAAATTTTTTCAAGTTTAACAGTTAAATAAAACATGTCCTATCTTCTCACCTTGAAAAGTATTCCTTTATAACGACCTGGAAAGCCAGATGTGAAGTTAGAGTTTTCAGAGTCCTTGGAGTTCGGTATGGGAATGTGGCAGCACAGGGGAGCTGGCCTGGCCCTCACGTCTCCCCTCCCCAGCTGTCCTGGACCACAGCCGCCCTCAGTCCCTCTCAGGGCCAGGGGTATGTCTGCCCTTGTGGGGTCAGATCCAGGGAAGACGCCATCATAGGCCCGAGTGGATGAGCGGCCTTGTGACCAGGGAATTCTGGATCTTGGTCCAGAGTAGCATTATCCTATAGAACATTCTGTGCTGTTGGAAATGTTCTATATCTGTGCTGTTCAACACAGTAGTCACTAGCCTCAGGTGACAACTGTGCACTTGAAATGTGGCTAGTGAACCTGAGGAACTGAATTTTTAATTAAAAATTTTTAAATTAAGTAACATATAAATTCAAATTGCCACATGTGGCCAGTGGCTTCTACATTAGACAGCACAGGTCTAGAAGGGGGTGGGGTGGGGGTTCTAATGGACATGTCAGGTCGGCTCTGCTGACATCATCCTGCAGGGAGGTGCACGGCTGGAGGAGGATGAGAGTGGGGCTAAGGAAGACGCTAGAGACAGAAATGAGACCAGTTTGCAGCAGGAAACTGCCATATAAGGCAGCATGTTCCTGGTGGGCGGCGCCCTCCAGACCTCTGATTAGACAGAGGCACAGGGCCGTGGGCCGAGGTTTGGGGAGAAATTTGAGGGCACCCCCAAACATGTCCTCCTGAGATTTTTTCGGGGACCTGTTTCACATAAGAGGCCAGCTTTGGTCGTTCAGGCCTAGCTGGGACTGTGGGTCTTGGCAGAGAGAAGAGGCTCTGTTATTTTTTCTTCTGGGGCCATGTGAAAGGGGCAGGCCGTGTGCATAGTTTCCATGGCATAATCTGACTATAAAGCCCTGTGTGTCTGTGGGGGAGGGACGAGGAGGGGCCCTCAGCCCAGCCTCGGTCAGAACTGGGCACCGGCCCAGGAGGCACATTCCCGCCCAATTCCTTCAGGGTCGTGAGCCGTGGGCAGGGCAGGGCTGCGCCTGGCTGGCCGGAGTTTTTGGAAGCTTGTTTGGTCGCTGATGGCGGTGAGGGTGTTGGCTCTTCCAGACACCTGGACATGAGGTAGAGGAAAGATAATCTCCCGAGATCTGGGCCAGCGAGGCTCAGGCAGAACACAGGATGTGAATTCACTGCAGGCAAAGCAGCGTCGGGCGAACGAGGGCCTCCTTGTCCGAACTTGGCTGCCAGCTCTCACTGCAAATCAGAAGCTGCCCACAGGCTGGCCGGGGCCCAGCCCCGGAGGAACCTGAGCAGGATCGTTTGCCCAGAGCATTGTAGGCAGGTTCACCCCTGCCTCTCTCTGCGGGAGAAAGGATGCCTCTAAAGGAAAGAGGCCACTTTGTGAGCCTCCCACAGCTGTGGCTTCTTGGATGGAAGTCAGGGCTGCAGAGCACAGGATAAGGTTTATTAAGCAACTACTAGGAACCAGGCTCTGTGCTAAATATTTGCTTTACTGATCTCATTTGGAACAATAGAGATTAATAATCATTGTAATAGCTGATATTTCTTGAGTACCTACAAGGGAATCAGACATCAATTCATTTAATTCTCACAAACCTCCTATCTATGGGTTGAGGGAAACCATGCCTTATCTGTGATTTTTTCCTAAATCACTCAGCGGGTAAAAATCCCAGTGGGGGTTTGAACCCAGGCACCCTGACTCCACAGCGACTGCTCTCAACCGCGGATCTTCCTGACAGATGTTCTGGCTGTAGGTTCTGTGAGGCTCCACCCCAGGGCCTTCAAAATGGTTCTATGGCTCTCAATTATCCAGTTTGTCCCAAAGCTCTCACCTCAGCCAGATTCCCATTCCTACTCTGGCTCCTTGGGGTCTCTAAGGCCGGCGTTGCAAAGGGGCTCTGTGCCTGGACAGTGGCTGCCCCTTCGCCTGCTCGGGTTTGTTGTGGCCTGTGGGGCGGCAGCCCCGGCCGCAGAGGTTGCCCAAGACAATCACGCCTTTCTGAAAGGCGAGCTGTGCCCGCGACTCAGGCTGCAGCCGCACACACAATGCCCTCTGTCTCCACCAGGGCAGAAAGGCACATTATTGCGGGCCGGGTGACTCCGGCTCCACCAGCCGTGATGCTTGTGGTCTACACATCCCCCACCGGGCATCTCCCCACGCCGTGGGCTTGGCCAGGGGCTGGGCAGGGAGGGGTGTGGTGGCACTCTGGGCCTGGGTGTCCCATCCCTGGAGGTTCCTGCCTTGTTGCCATATCAGACTTGTCCCCTCACCCTCCATCCTCACCTGTGGGTCCTTCCCCCTGGCCCCACGCCTCCCCTCCTCGGCCTCCTGAGGGCTAGGACTTACACTGCTCTGGGAGAGCACACAGCCCTGCGCCTGGCACGACGGGCCCTCCCCAGTGTGGCTTTCCCTTCCGTCTCCTTCTTCTGGAGTCTCGTGTTCGGACTTTGTGAAGGTTGGAGACAATTTTGTCGTCAGAAGTGTTGGCAGGCCGGGTGAGGTGGCTCACGCCTGTAATCCTAGCACTCTGGGAGGCCGAGGCTGGAGGATTGTTCAGGAGTTTGAGACCAGCCTGAGCAAGAGTGAGACCCCGTCTCTACTAAAAATAGAAAGAAATTAATTGATCA